AAACACACCTGGGCACTTCTGGGGACATGGGGTTTTGCCTCAGCTTCAGCTAACAGGATTCGTTTTTCTGCAATACCACATGAGTTTGGAGTTACTCCGCAAGACTCTGGACTGAAAGGCAGTATGAGGGGTGCAGATCTCGCTCCTCACCTGTGCCTCCCCTTCACCTCGGACAGCTGCCGCCTGTTATCCATTTTCCGTGTCCCGGCTGTTGGGTGAAATGCGGCAGAAAGCAGAAGCCGGAGCCCCCGCGGGTTGGGGCGGCTCGGAGGCCGGGCAGCTCCTGCCCGCCTCGGGCCGCGCCCCTCACGCAGCACCCGCGGGGCTCCGGTGCGCGGAGAGGCACCAAGGACGAGCGCGGCTGCTTCTCGCCCTGCGGCTCATCCCCGGCGGAGGGGCAGCGCCCGGTGCCGTGTTCCTGCGCGGGTGCCCGAAGGGAGACGCTCACCGCCGCGCCCGCCGCTGAGACGGCCAGGGATGGGCGTGCGGGGGTGCCCGTGGGGATCGGGGCAGACCCTTGGGGAGCGAAAAGCTCGCCAGGACCCGGACCCTCGGGCCCGGCCCGACGTGCTCAGCGCTGGGCAGTCAGTGAGCCGGGAGCGGCAGCCTGCGGCGCTAAGGGCAGAGCAGAGCAGGAGGCCGTGCGCTTTGCAGCCCCTCCGGAGCGACGGACTGGCCCCCGCTTCCCGTCCCGGTTCCAAAAGAGCTCGAGGGGAAACCTCTCTATCAGTGGCGAGTGATAGATGACGGCGGGCCAGGCACGCTTCTTGCTCTAAACAAGAAGAGCCTCTGTGAACTCTCAGTGGCGCTGGGGCGACCCTGCTCACGGAGGAGACCTTCGCCGTCTTCTCGAGCCGGGGCTGGGCCCCCTCTCTTGATGAGGGCTCGATTTACGGCGCGGGGGCGTGCACAGGGCCCAGCACCCCAGCAGAGTCAGGGCCGAGAGTGCTCCAGGTCCCTTCAATGCAAAGTTCGCGTCCTCACCTTATTCCCCCGGTGAGGGGCTTTGCGTGGTCCCGTGGAGTGTAGGTGCTGCTGGGCCAGACTCCTCAGGCAGCCCTGCATGGCCCCATGTCCCGCCCTGTCTCTGGACCTTTGGCGAGCCTTGTTCCCTTGAAGGTGGCTGCCAGCTAGACTTATCGTGTGGTCATTGAGGGAAACGCGATGCGCCTTTTGGCGTGCGTTCGTTTTCCATCCCCCCTTCCCCCTCCCCCTTAACTCTTGTTACTGCCCTCGGTGAATAGAAATAACGAAGTGTCAAGCGCTGTTCATGCATTTTAATTGCTGGAGAGAGGTGCGGGGAGGTGTCCTTCCCGAGAGCAAAACCGGGCCCGGTGAGACATCCGTGCTGGACAAATATTGGAAGAAGGGAGTTTGCGACGCAGGCGGTGGTGGCCAAGTGCGGTGCGGCGGCCCAGGCTCCGCCTGTACATGTTCCTGGTTTTTGCAGATTACCTTTTGTAACATCTTGGGCAACCCGAGAAGAACCTTCCCGCACCTCAGGCGGTTCCTTCGGAGACGTTACTCATTGCCCAAAGGCAATTGCACAAACTGGAATCGTTCATCTTAAAAGCAGTCACTGCCGCAGGGGCGAGGGCTGAGTTCGGCACAGCGAGGGAATCGCTTCTGCCGGGTGTCGCAGCGAGGGCTGAGGAGCCGGGGAGCGATGTGTCACTACCTGCGCACCCCAGCGCACAGGCAGAGCGCTAGCCGTGCCTGTCGTGGGGTTCTCCCTGCATCATTTTCCTCCCTGGGGCACTGCTTCCAAATTTTCCAATGATCTGATAGGTCTGACCGGTTTCAAGACAAGATCCGAGCCCCCAACAGTTTGGAAACAGTGGCTTCTCAAAATATCCCTCCGTTTCCCTTTGCAGCTCGCTCCCTTTGCCGTCTGTCCTGACGGAGCTGCCTCTCAGGGACAGACAGATCTGACAGATTGACTTCCCAGGCTACCTGCCTGAGTTTTGTGGCCCGGTGGTGTCGTGCCACCTCCACACGTGGCATTCGCATCACCCCGGCTGCGCGGTACCATCGTGCGCCAGAGCTGAGCAGCCCTGGGGAAGGGGGAAAGAGTGGCGTGGTAAATGAACTGGGCATGGTAAATGAACTGGGCTCCCCAGTCTCTCTGGGCATATGTTGCCCTTGGATCAACAGGAGAACAACCTCCTTCTTACCCCTTAAGACCTTCAATAAGGCTGCCGGGAAGATGCTTCACCACTGCGCTAACGAGAGGTACCCTGGCGCCTTGCCATGCCCTCGAGGAGAGGGGACATACCGTGGTCAAAACGCTGCTCTGGGAGAAGGCTGGTGGCAGAGATTTTGGGGGAACAGAGCCTGTTTTGGGGCGTTACTCCCCTTCAGGATCTGGCGGCACTTAGCCTGTCTGACCTGGGGAAAACTTTGCAAGGTGGGTGTATGTGGTTCTGCGTGTCTCGAGCGGCAGCAGTGGTGTCAGGGGCCACTCGACACGATTTGCTCATCGGCTTTCAAGGGTCCGGCTCCAGCCAGAATGTGGCAGGAGCAAGGACTCGCCACCCCATGGGTGATTACTCCTTGGGAGGGAGGGAACCGATCCAGTTCTGTGGCCAGGAAATTCCCCCGGAATCACCTCTGTGTTGCTAGGGGTTTGTTTTCTTCATTTTCCGTGAGTTTTGCCGTAGGTGCGACATGGATTTGAGAGGGAGGCAAGGTGTATGCTAAATTTATACTTGTGCTTCTGGCTATGGTGCTCCTCCCCTAGCGATCATTCCCTGGCTACAATCGAGTCCATTTGCTTTTAAAAAAGGAGATTCCTCCGCATTGCGCGGGGCCAAGGTGGAGAAAGGGCAGGCTCCCGTTCAGGTGTATCCCAGCGGGACAAGAGCTGAGAGGTCCCCGGGTCTGCGCTGGCCTGGAGCCCTGGCTGCTGGAGGTGACCGGGGGCACCGCGCCTCGGCAGAGCAGCACGGCTGTGGGACCGGCTGTGGGTGAGCTGGCGGCTCCTGGGGGCCGTGGGGCTGCAGCCGTGGCCGTGGACTCTCCCGGACTACCCGGCCTCTCCAACCCCCCACAGCAGCCCCAAGGCTGGCCACGACAGGCACCTGCCCTGCCCCTCACACCCAGCCACCGTGGGGTCGCGAAGCGTTTAAGGCACCCGGCGCTGAGGAGGGCAAAGGTGGGACAGGGATGCTGGCAGTGTAAGGAGGCAGTGCGATTCCCCAGGGAGCCCCGGGCCGGGGAAGGGAAAACATCTCTGTCGGTGCGGTGCCGAAGCTGCTCTTGCTCTCCCAGGTGGGTCTTTTGGCTCAACGGGACAGGGACAGGGCTGCTCGGGAAGAGTGATCCGAAGGCGAGCGACGCCTCTGCCAAGCTACAGCTGGGAACGCCGGGGGGCTTCCTGGACTCCGTGCCCAGTGCCACTCGGAGCGGACCCCACCAGGCCACCGGGCAGCGAGCTGGGCGAAGCCAGCCGTGTGCCCCGGAGGAGCCTCCTGGCCGCCGTGCCCAGTGCCACTCGGAGCGGTCCCCACCAGGCCACCGGGCAGCGAGCTGGGCGAAGCCAGCCGTGTGCCCCGGCCGCACGGAATGCCAGCAGCAGCTCTGAGCGGTATGAGCACGATCACAGCCCAGGGGACCGAGGGAAGGGAAAATTGTCCGCACTCGACCCTCGTTAGAGCGCATCTAAGACTTGCGGGTGATTTTGGGACAGCCGGTGCAGGAAACAGTCTCGAGGGGTGAAGGGCTGACGAGGCAGAGGAAGCTGGGGCAGGAAGGCTCCCCTGGAGCGGGGCTGGCTCAGGGGGCAGAGGCAGTGTCGGGGCCCCTGCAGAGCTGCGGGAATGGGCATCCAGAAGCCTGGCTCTTGACAGAGGTGCGTGATTGAGGGATGGGGGGTGAGAGATTGAGGGGTGGCCCACGCGAGTAGAAACAGGAGTTCGGTCGCACTCATCCCAGTCTCCTCCGAGGTCCCTGGTCCCGCTCCGCGGGTGGACGTGAACGGGGAATTGCACTGCCGTTGCATCGCCCCTGTAACGGGATACTCCCTTAGTTTCCCCTTTCCGGGGCGGTGGGAGCACTCCCACGGCTACGCGTGGCGCGTTCCTGACTTCGCGCAGCCGTCTCCGCCTTCCCTCCTCGTTCTTTTCGCGTGGGCCGTCTGCAGGCGGGACTTTCCAGGAAGTGGTGCTTGCAAAGCTCTTTGTTCCCTCCCGTGACTCACGCGTTTCCCTGCCCTTATCACGGCGATGTCAGCGGCTTTGAAGTCCAGTCATTTATTACCTTCCCGGAGCTGGCCCTGTCTCGCTCTGCTGATAGACCCGGGTACATTTCCACGCGGAGTTTGATCTGTGCCCGCGCTGGTGGCGCATTGGAAAGTCACTTTCGATAAACCTCGACAGACTCTGCCGGACAAACTATTGCAGCGCTAATGACAGAGATAATCCTCTCCTAATCTGGCGGGTAATCCATTTCACTCTAGTGAGAATTTTTAAGGCTTTAATCAGTGAGAGTCTGTTAGGGAATTATTAACAGAGCCTCCGCCGAGCGAGCTCGTCCGGAATGGAGCAACGGGAGTTGGGAAAGGGAGAATGCAACGGGGCCCGATGAGGTCAAAATCGATGCACGGCCAGGCGCAAGAGCTGACGAGATGTGTTTTGATGTTACGATACAATTGCCTTCAGTTCGAACGCCACGAAAAACCCGCGCCATCGATTCCCCCTATGCCCGCTCTGACAGCGGCTCCGCTGGCGCCGGGGACTGGCAGTCCCGGGGGAGCGGGAAAAGCGCGGGGGATAAGATGCGCAGGGGTGACGCTTCCCGGTGCCGAGAGGGAGGCTGTGTCAAAGCCAGGAGGCGCGTTTCGGTGGCGGCTCGCGCGGAGAGGGGCCGAGGCGCTCCGGGGCCCCTCGCCCGACGTGCGGGGCCCGCCGTTGCCAGCGGCTGCGGCGGTGCCGGGCGGGCGGGCGCGTCCCGGCGGGGCTGCCCCCCTGCCCCGTCCCGTCCGCGCCGGGCCCGGGAGCAGCATGGAGACCGTGCTGCTGGAGCACTTCCCCGGGGGGCTGGACTCCTTCTCCTCGCCCCCCTACTTCGACGAGGAGGACTTTTTCTCCGAGCCGCCTTCGCGGGACGTGCTGGCCGCGGATGGGCTGCTGGAGCCGGACGTGGATTTCCTCAGCCGGCAGCTGCAGGAGTACTACCGCGACGGCGGCGACCCCGAGGGAGGCTACCGCTGCCCGGCGCCGGCCGTCGCCTTCCCGCCGTCTCCCGCCTCGCCCGGCTTCGCCTACGAATGCTGCGGGGCGGCGGGCGCGGCGTTACTGTCCCCCGGGGGGCGGCTCCAGGCGCTGGGCTCGGCCAAGCGGCGGCGGCGGGTGCGCTCCGAGGCGGAGCTGCAGCAGCTCCGTCAGGCCGCCAACGTGCGGGAGCGGCGGCGGATGCAGTCCATCAACGACGCCTTCGAGGGGCTGCGCTCGCACATCCCCACTCTGCCCTACGAGAAGCGCCTCTCCAAGGTGGACACGCTGCGCCTGGCCATCGGCTACATCAACTTCCTCAGCGAACTGGTGCAGTCCGACCTGCCGCTGCGCAGCGCCAGCAGCGAGAGCCCCAGCCAGCCCAAGAAAATCATCATCTGCCACCGCGGCACAAGTAAGTGGCGGCCCGGAGCGGCCCGGTACGGCCCGGCGCGGCCCGGCACCGCGCTCCGCAGGAATGCCGGCCCCGGCAATAACCCCCTGCCTTCCTTTTCCCTCCTGCCCTCCAGGATCTCCCTCTCCGAGCGACCCCGACTACGGACTCCCCCCTCTGGCCGGTCACTCGCTGTCGTGGACTGATGAAAAGCAGCTCAAGGAACAAAACATCATCCGGACAGCCAAAGTGTGGACCCCCGAGGACCCGCGGAAGGTGAACAACAAACCCTCCGTCAACGACATAGAGAACGAGCCCCCCTTCGACTACGTGGCGTGAGGCGCCGCGCGGGTGGTCCCCGCCCCCGCCCGCTCTGTACATGCTGTATGTAGAGACCTATATTGTAAATGTAATTTAAGATTCAGACTCTAAGGGCAATCAAATTTATTTATCTATTTATTACGGAGTAGTGATAATGAGGTAGAATCATCTGTTTTGAATATATAATTTTAATTTATATAATTTATCTTGATTTTTTTAAAGATATGCAATAGGTTTATTCCACCAGCACCTTTTTTTTTTCTTTTCTTTTCTTTTCTTTTTTTTTTTTTTTTTTAACGGGGAAAATACGTCAGAACCCTTTAAAATAATTTATTGCCGCACGTGGGCTCTCCTTGTGTTTGTTAATAATAAACCCGAATTGTACGTTGTGGAGCAGTATATTTGTGGGAAGCGGCTTCCGAGAGCCCCGCCACATCCCGAGGAAGCCTTGCAATGAACGCGTGGACCGGTCTCCAGGCGGGGTGAGCCCCAAGACTCAGTGGCACCCTCAGCCCAGATGCTGGCCCCACTCTGCCCCACCGCCGGCTCGGGCTGCGCTTATAGCGCCGGGGGGACGGGGACGGGCGGGGACACACTTTCGCCTTCTCTCCACCCCTTTTGACGTCCTCTCCTGAAGTGCTTCCAACTGATGTCTTTGTCTATCTCTAGAAGGTCCCCTCCATTCAGTGTCTCAGCACTGTTTGTGGTTTCCAGCTGGAAGATCCGAGCCCCCAAACCCAAACCTTGCGAGGGTGTGTGCCCCCCGCCTTGTACCCCCGACTGCGCCGCCGTGGGACGGGGCGCGCTATCCAGAGCAGCACAAAGCTGCTCCTGAAAGTTCCGGGGAGGGAAGGACGAGGCTGGGGGCCGGGCAGGCTTGGGGCTCTGCCGGCTGCCCCCAGCTTTCCGGGGTTCTCCCACCGGCCGCGCCTTGGAATCAGCTCCCGCGCTGCTCGCCCTGGGGCTGCCGCTGGGGGCGGGGGGATAGGGGGATGGCAAAGGCATCGTGCAACTGGTGGTAGAATCGCTCTGGTAGCCCAAGCTCAGCGTGCCCGGCTGCGGAAGGGACGGCTGGGCTGCACCTGCCCGGGGGCGAGGGGTGGGGGCGGCAGGGGCCGGGCGGGCGGGGGGCTGCAAGTGCTCCCGGCGGGAGCGGGGGGGCGGCCCCGGGCTGGGGCGGGGGGCTCGGCCCCATGCCGCAGGTGCTGATTTTCCCGTGGCACCCGCGGCTCAGCCCCGACGGCTCAGCCCCCGGCAGAGTCCCAGATGCCCAGCCCGGCCCGCGGCCGGAGCAGAGCTGTCCCCGCGCGGTGCCCAGGCGGATGGGAACGGCGCGGGTGAGCCAAGGTGTAATTATAACTCATCATATACTGTACATCTCTCCTTCTCCCTTTTTTTTTTTTTTTTCCCAAAACTGCCTCAAAGTGGGAGCAATATGTTGCATGCATGCTAATTGCATTAACCTAGTTAAACACATTTAGTTCCCTAGCGCGGATGGCATGGATCTATTCCAATAGCAATTAGAGGAGCTACTTACACGCACAAACACGCCGAGGCTGGGCCGGGGCGGGGGCTGTGGGGGCGTCACTGCTTTTTATTTTCTCACTTTTCGTGCGATTCTGGGCTGCGGCGGGGCTGACCGGCCGCAAGCCTCGCCCCGTCCGGCGGCAGGCGGGCGGTACCGGTGTCATTGAACTTAAACGGGGCTCTTTGAGAGAAAAAGAGCCGACCTATAATTCGATCTTGTCCTGTATTAGGACCTCATTAAACACAGAAAGTCGCTTTTTCACAAATGCTTCCATCAGGCATGTAATCTCATTACACTCATTAGAAAGTCAAATGTTAGTCGGACTTCAGTTTAATTATAAGTTATGGAAGTGTTGTACCGTTTCCTTCTGTGTATAGCCTCGTTCGTCTCAATTGGCTTTGGTGATGCGATCCCCCACAATTAAAACACTACAATCATTGTTATGTGGCACCTTTTCTTTGGCGTGCCACTTTTTTGTGATTCAATGCTTCAACACATCCTTTAGTATGGTGCAGATGAAGCGGAAGAGCCGGCCTTCGCATGTAAAGCACCAGGGTCTCTATCTTGTCACTCTCCCGTCTTGACTTGGCAAGTCCCTTTAAACGCAATCTTCAAAGAGACTGACAGCTCCTTTTGACTGACTCATCATCCATTCACCCCAGCGCCGCGCTCCTGCGACAAAATCCGCCGCACAGGGCAGGAGGGAACCGCCTGTGCAGGTCCCCCGGCCCAGAGGGACCCGGCGGCTCACGCAACGCCGCTCGCAGCTTTTGCGGCAGCTTTAGGGGGTTTGCTGGTGGGGAGCACGGCTCGGCGCGGTACGGACCAGCGTGGGGAAGGCGTGACTGACAGCCACGCAACGCCAGTTCCCAGCCGCCTGCCCCCTCCTCCCGCGGCCGTGAGCTGCACCTTCTAGTGCTGCCGCCCGAGGCCCCGTGGGCAGTGGCTCCCCGCCTCCCAGCCCCGCTCCCAGAGCCCCCGCTGTCCTCTGAAACCCCGCACCGGCTCCCGTGGGGCCACCCCTCCTCGGCCGCACTGCCCCGATGGCGCCCCAGGGGCGGGGGAGGCCCGTCGGGGAGCCGGGACCGTCCCGCCGCTCCCCGCAGCCCGGCGGGAGCTGGAAAGCAGGGTAGGAGAAAACAAAAGGGGGGGGGCAATCCCCACCCCCTTGGGGTAGGAGGGAGTGTTAGAGGCACTTGCAGGCAGTTTGCTTCCCGCAGTCTCACAGGAGGGAGGTGCGGATTCTAGGTGTGCGGGCTGATGCTGTGCTTCCGGAACCAGCATCACTCGTGATGCCCCAGGTGTAAAGACAACTTAATTACCGAATCCGACAATCCTCCATGGAAAAAAACCCAAACCAAAACAAAAACCCTAAACCCCAGCAACAATTAAAAAAAAAAAAAAAAACCAACCCGAAAAACCAAAACAGCAAACAAAACCCAAAAAACAATAAGCCCCCCACCCAAAGGAAGGGAAGCATCAGGCCGCTCGCCTGCACAGCCAGCAAAGGGATGGGAAGGCGTGCGTGACTTCTCGGCAGAGCTGTGCGCAGGCAGGGGCTGCCGTGGGCACTGTGAACCCGTCCCGCCGCGGTTCCCAGGGCCTCTCATCTGCCGGCAGTCGGGTGAGCGCCCTGCGAGGCGCGGGACGTGAAGCCTCCCGAGCCCGGGATCTCATCCCTCTTTCATTCACGCATCTCTCGCTGGCACCGAGTACCAGCTGCGAGGTCGAACAAACACCAGTTGAGTGTCCCCTGGTAAACCTCCCGCTTTCCAAAGCATCCCGCAGCCGGTGGGAATGGTCCTAAATAACTCCACAACAAACCGCGCTGCCGAGACCTGGAAGCGTGGGCGGGAGGCGATTCCCACGACGGGGCCGGGGTCTGGCCAACAGGTGCTCGGGTTTGGCGGAGGGCGCCGGGGGAGCCCGGGGAGGCAGAGCCTCCGCTGCCAGAAAGCAGCCTGCTCCGGCGCCTCCGGCTTTACATGGCGTGGAAGCCGCAAACAATCGCAATGATATCTTTATTGCTAGGTTCATGTCCTGGGCTATAACATATCAATCCCTGTCGTGGTTCTCTCGGATGCACCTGGTATTTCAAACTTGTTCTTTTTGTGCTTCTGGGTCCTGGACTGCAGCTGCCTAAAGCGAGCAAAGAGAGAGGCCCTTACAATGTGTCCAAGACGTGTTGGCATGGTTTGCTTGTCTTTAATGTACCATTAACTATTGTCTTTACACAATATGGGAACTGTAAAGCATGACATGTGTTATAATAAAACACATTTTCAACGATACACTTGGACTCGGCGCTGGGATGCAAGCAAACAAACAGGCCCAAATCTTGTTTTGTCTCCCTCGCTAAGCCTACTGGCAATTAAACTTAAGACCACTGCTTTCCCCTGATCAGCCAATTAAATTTTATGTCTCCTAATTTTTCACATAGAAAAAAAGTCTCGGTGCCGGCCCCTAAAGACATTGATTTTCTTGCTATCACCTGGCGCTCAGACCTTAGTTCCATTTATCAAGAAGGGAAACGTCAGGCGTTGCATAAAGTGACTCTGTTACCATAAGGCTCTCACCATCCTGCCCTATTGTTTTCCCTTGTTAATAACTCATTACCAGGATTTAACAAATCAACCATTACATATGTTTTGTGTCTCCATATTTTGATCCGTACGATTAAGCAGATGTTACGATTGAAAATTGAAAAGTCCAAGGCTACTCTCGTCTGAAAGAAAGAGGGCAGCCTCAAACAACGAGCTAACAATGAGATTCAGAAGATCTTCAGAAAAACATTTACGACCAATAAACAGACTCCAACCTGCTCCATTTCAACCATTGTGCGCCTTAGGGGAATAATTAGGTTGAATAGGAAGAGGTCCGCGGGGTTTTCAATGCCAAGCCCACAGGTGCGGGGTGGCACGATGAATGATCCGCCTGATTTTTGCCAGGCTCAAGGGCCCTTCTCCTGGCCGGGCGAGCAGATACGAAATATTGTCATTTCTTTTAATTCACAGCGTTACTCTCAGGGCGAACAAAGGGGCGGGGGATGAATGGCTCCGGCTGCAGGCAAGGCGCGCCCGGCCGCCGCTGGCCTCTCCGGAGACCGCCCGGCGGGGACGAGCGCGCCGCCGCCGCCGGGCCCGGGGCCCGTCCCGGCGGGCTCG